GATATAAATAAATAAAATTCATAAATTGAATTATAAATAAATAAAATTAGTAAATTATATTATAAATAAATAAAATTGATATATAGAATTATATATATACATCGCATTTTATGTGGATTTTCTATCACAGGAGACTGCTTCTGTCACGATTGCGCCGCTGCCGGCCCCGATTTATGGGCCTCTTGCTGCCGCGAAAGCTTGAGATGTTGCTCTCATCTCGCTGCAGCCTGCAGGACGTGCGATCATCCGACACTGTATCCTTTCTGCTCGAAGCACTTTAAGAAATGCCTGACGCAGTACAACGAGACAAGGCAGAATTAGCGATCGTATTAAGATTCCCGGCAATGTCTCAACTGTGATACATAGTTGGTTTACCAATTTGACCATCTCATTAATGATTTTACAATTCAAAAATATTCGATTTGTCCTCTCCGCGGTCATCAAATAGTTAAAGTTCAATCGTAATCAATATGACCGAATGCCACCGATATTAAAAGGACATTTAACTGAATGATATCACACAGATTGCGCAACCAAAGTTTTAACGCCATGTTTCTAAATATAGCATTTATCTTCGAAGTCGTTAGACTAGTTTCACTCGATCATCTTCGAGTGCGATTTCGTACGAACGGGGATTTCAGCTCTGCAAAATCGATTCTATCTGAAATCGATATTAACTGATAAATTTACAGATAAACATTTATATTGTATTACTTGTGGAATGATATTACTTACATAATAATACATGTAGAATTCTTACTTATTAGAAAAGTATATAAACTATTTCACAGTTCTCTAAAAATATTATACACACATGAGCCAATGCTTGTTACAAATTGAATTTGTAAAAAAATGCCATTTATATAAAATTACTTCAAAATGCAAATTATTCCGGATTTCATCCTGCAAAAATATATCTTAAAATGAAGGTGATCCATGAAATATTATCTCTTATGGATATTTATCAAAAAAATTTGTCTCGATATATATAATAGAGATCCATTAATCCAAATTTTTTTGCTAAATATCCATATCGAAATATATAGAGATCCATAGAGTAAACTTGTATGCATCTGTACATTTACGAACTTGTATAAATACACGGGTTTACTATTCGTTCTCAATTCTTGGCAAGACATTAAATAATTAAAGAATAATCATAACGAAACACACGGAATCCTGGACTCTTCAACAAACACACACAGATTAATTACCAATACTATTAACAAAAGTGTCGGAAATATATTAATCCAAAGAAAGAAAAAATCAAGAATGTGTTACAAAAAGATAAATAATCACCTTTTAATACAATCATTGGTAAGCTTTATTCATATAGTTTCCAGAGAGAGAATATTCGGTAATCCGTTATTTATCCACTAATTCTATAAATCGTGAGGACACAACTTCTCATTCGGACAGACGTTCCAAGATCTCGGTGTGTACAAATTTCGCAACAATTTTTCTGACAAAATAAAAATATGTGCGCATATAACACGCAGTCTTTGACGATTCGATTTAATTGTCATAATAAACATAAAACGTTCGTGTCCCCGTAAAAACGTGCAGCCAAAGACTTAACACTTTTATTTTTTTCCAGTTTGCAAAACACTTAAAGAATTTCAGTTCTGCTAAATATTCGCAATCCCTCCTTTCCGTCGTGCAGCGAAAGATTTTTTCTTTTTAAGGATATAAAATTCTCTCGCATTCTTGAAAAGTGTTTAATTGTGTTAAATTACTTCGTTATAACAGCACCACACAGAGGTCAAAGACAAGACTAGAAAAGAAGAATAGAAGGAAATAAATAAATAAATATATAA